CGGCTTTTATTTTTCAAAGTGTACAGTTGTGACCCGGAAATACACTACATTGGCCATGATAAATTAGTATTTATCAGAAATGCATCTATTTTAGTATGTATGTGTAAGTTTAAATACATATATGTAAATTTATATACGTCAAGTGGTCAAGGTCTCCGTCACACCGGAAATTACGGGTATCTTGATAAAGGAAGGACCCATTACCCTCATTGCTTTTATTTCACTGTTCACTTTGTTAGACCATCAACGGTTTTATTTTTTTTTAATTCATATAATTATTTTATCTTTAAAATATTAAAATAACTGATGTCATAATTTACTAGATATGGTGAGAAATTTATTTTTAACTGAAAAATATAAATAGGGGTTTTTGTTTTGTTTTTTTTTTTTTTATAATAAAATAAAGTCTAGAAAATTCGAAAAGAAAGTATGTCACGAGTTAATCAACGTGACATAAAAAAAGGCTACATTTAGGGTTGTTGAAAATTTTGGTAAATTAAATATATTATCTTCTCACGCGGCGATTCACGTGCACATAAATTGATAACGTATGAGTGTGTACATTGTTGGAGAGTTTGCGAGATCGACGTACGAGAAGGAATAAAAGGAAAAAGAAGGAAAGGAGTGGAATGAGAATCTTTTGCTACAAGGTGTCACTGACTCCCGTACGTAGGTGATCGACCTCCATCGTCCCCACTTGGCGGATATTCTCCCTCTCCTTCATGTCCAAGTTCTTACTCGCGGACCTACTGCGTGATTCCCTTTCCCCTTTTGTCCCTCATCACTTCGGTAAACGTGAGCCAGTGACGTAACGTCGGTTATTCAACTTGGTTGGCCAGTGACGAAATGCCACTGGCCAGCCATACTTTACTCATCCAAACTTCTTTTATCTAAATATATTTTTTTCTTGTCAGTACTACTTATCTTTTCATCTCATTTTTCTTTACTATTACTTAACGACTTAGTAATTAAATTATTTGTTTATTTAGGAAAATAATTAGAGATAAAATCCTAGTGAAATCGACTAAAAAATCATAGAAATAAAATTGGAAAAAGTTTTTATGAATCAGGTTTATACTGAAGAATCTAATGCGAATAAAATGGTATATAAACAGAGGAACCACACAAAGAATAGCACAGTAGGTCTAACCGAAAGTGTTTTAATGTTTACAAAGTATCGTATCGTGTTTTCGGTGTTACTTTCTGATGGCTTAATGGTGTACTTTATTTCATGCCCTCGATTCCTTCGTTAAACTTAAATGGTCAATTATAATTACGAGGTCAATAATCTCTCTACAATTGATACTTTTAATGAAACAATCAGTCAATTTTTATCATCTACATTACACCCACTGAAATTTCATTTATCCTATCCTTATTTTTTGAATGATTTATCGAAGATATTTATTGCAAATTCATTGAGTATATAATTGTTATTAAATTATTCACGAATAAATTGACTTATTCAACATCTTGGGGAATTTTTGAAAAAACATTCTCAATCAGGACGATGATCCTTTGCCACGCGTGTTCGCAAAGTCCGTTATATCCTTGACAAGTCCAAGGATACGCGGAAGGGGATACGTTGGGGCACGCGTAGCACAGAGGACGAACGACTCGCATAGCCATATCAAGCCACGCACACTATCGTCATGGGAATCGTGTGAAGCACGTGGCGCGAACTCGTACGATCCGGTGAGTGACCTATGGATTTGCTTATTCGCAACCTCACAAATATCCTGAGTCAATGTACTTCGCTAAATGCTCATCCATGTTTTCATCAACTAACGAGGTCACGATGATGAGCAAAATTCCGTTTATCAACAATCTTTTCGCAATCATCACATTTATTTTATATCTTAATGATTTGATAGCTCATTCCATCCAATAGAATATCCTCGATATAATCATTGAACAGTAAATTTTAAATATACAAAGACAAATTGTTCACTAAACTCAATTTAATGATGTATAAAATAGAATTATTTTTGCACTTGTTCAACATAAAAGTTATTTATTTTATTCAATTTAGATTAAATGTAATTTTATTGAAGTATTCAGAAAAAAAAAAATAATTTAGACAAATAAATAAATAAATGATTCAAATGAGAGGATAAAATTGTACATTTGTTCATGACATAACGTCTTAAGGAAGAAAGAATGCGGAGGTGGAAGTGAGAAAAAGAAGAAGAGAGAGATAAAGATAGTACTTAAACTATAGTTGTAGACTTGCTAATAGGCTGAGGGCAATGACCAGGCGTACTACTAGCAACTAGTTAAAATTTTATTAAGAACAACGTACATCGGACATAGCACAAGTGACGCTTAATTTTTACACGAGGGAGAAAGATTGAGGTCGAAATAAGATTGGGGGAACAATCGGCACGCGCGACACTTTATCACAATCCTCATGATTATGTTGATAAAAGTATTTTGTATATAAATTTTAAACAACTTATTACATATAAAACATTACAACATTTAATTAATTTTTTTTCTTATCTTATGGAGAATAATTTAAAATTCGAAAAATTTTAAACAAGACAAAATACATGATTAAAAATCTATATATCATGTAAATGACCTTATTATCAATGTATAATATCTCTATAGAGGCAATTTGAGTGATTTGTATTGATCGAAATGGTGATAATTACGTCTGACAAATATCGAATATGATTGAGAGTTTGTTGAACACGTGTAAGTACAGATTTCATTTCATTCACTCAAATTAATTTATCACTACGTCGTCGCAATAATATGGCTCTATTTATTAATTTAATCATCAAGTGTTGATATTTAGGTGACGATAAATTGTCAAATATTTAACTTGTCTTAAAAGTATGAAAGTAAGAGCTACGACAAACGGCCTTGATTTATCAATACTGGGGTTAGTGGCCGACATTCAGATCAGTCAAATTATCTGTTCCGTCTATTTCTCAATCATTTTGACACGCTGGCCCTTAAAAACACACACACACGACTGTCTTTCGAAACAAATATAATGATGATATTTTTTAAAAAAAAAGTAGGAAATTACATTTAATGTTTTTATCTTTTGTTTTCCTTTCCAGTTCACTAGAACATTTTAAGTAGTTCTAGTTGTTACATCACCACAGGAAAAATAGAGACAAAAAAGATTGAGGTAGATTAATGAAAAATATTTTTGAAAAAAGAAATGACTCAATGTCAAAAGGTGTTTGTGAAGAAAGATAAATTATTCATGAGATATTTTCTAGACTTAGAGGAGCATCAACACACGTAACATCAGATCAAGTGATGTTGACTTGATAAAACTCAACCGTGAGGATCTCGTCAACGCTTTCTCCGAGCATTGCCCGCCAGCGCAATCGAGAGTAAAAGCTTTCCAAGAGAAAGAGAAGAAAGAAGAAAGAGCCAAGAGGAAGGGTGAACGAGAAGCAGCAGGTCGCACGGCAAAAGATGCACGAGCACTTGGAGAAAGGTGAAAGCACTCTCACCAACAAGTATGGGAGAGTCGACGAAGGAGTAGCAAGTTCTTTTACGCTTATACTACTTTTATTTTTATTTAAGTATAAATATCAGCAAAATATCCATTATATCTAATTTATTAATTCATTCGAATTTAATTTGTTTCCGTTATCGCATCGAAAATATTTTAAATATTTACAAATATAAAAAAATAAGCATGCAGCTTGAGAAGCAAAATTATAACTGTTTTCTGTAAATAGACATGCTGTGACTGTTGGGTAGATATACGAATAAACGGAAGAAAGGGAATCAAAGAGTCATGGGAGACCTCAATAGCGGACATAGACCTTGTTGTTATTCTGTGTATTATGATGATTATTGGTGTTGGCATGATAATAATATTATTTAAGTTTTCTTTTTTATCAAACAAAATCATTATTGATTATTGTAATTGTGTAATAATAATTTTTCTTGTATTTTATTTTGTTTACATATTTCATATGTGCATAACAAATGATTTAGGAATATGTAAAAGTCATCGGCAGCATCGTGAATTGTATAAATTCTTTGCGTAACTCTTTTAGAACTATAGACCAATAAAAAAAACCGAGTTCTGCTTTTAGTAAAGTCTGGTGGTTGCATAACACTACTTATCCTTTAAGACATGCTTCCAGTTGAGACTGTGTTATGTGAAAAACATTGGGAAATGACTGCGTTAAAAATATGGGCCATCAGCACATTCGCCTCTTGGTAGACCGAGCGAGACGAAGAAAACAACTTATGATACATGACAGTGACCGCCGACACAACTGTCTATATAACACTCCAGCTTTACATTAGACTAGTACTAGTTTGTTAATATACAATTTAGTGCTCAATCAATCGTAGAACGTTACGTGATGTAGAAATTTTCCTCTTGTAAAAATTTTAAATTTATTCTAAATTTACATTTTAATTTATGATTATCATTAGTGAATGTTCTAACATTTCTGCATTCGTTTATCATTATTTTTATCAAAAATATTTATTTCTCATAGAAAAATATGTAGATTATTAATTGATTTGTTTTCAAGAATTATCTAGAAAATACTGCTTTTTAATTTTCGTTTTTATGATTTACTAATTTTTGTAAATACTTTTAATCTTTCTAAGCATATACTAATTAAGAAAAATAATAAAATTTAATAAAAATTGTAAATTAAAATTAAAAAGCAATTGAACATTTATTGTATGTCCGCCAGTAGCTAGTTCAAGCTCGTTAAATGTCATCATAAATCGGCCTGAAAAATTCCCCGTTGCTCCCACGATTTACTACTAGTCAGTACCGCAAAGTTCTCACGAATATGCAACCACAATGACGGAATTCTTATATTGCGAATTTTTTTTTTTTAGCGAAAATACTTAATGTTTAAATTTTGTAAATAATTTCCCGCGTCAGAGCGTCATCATACGGCTATCATAAGAAACTTTACGCGGACGCGAATATTAAGTCAGTTCGCGTTCACCAGATGGCAAAGGCGAGGTTGGCCAGTACTCAGGGGCAATGTCAATGTCACAAAGCACGTGAGAAGGTTTGTCAGTGGAAAATCGATACGTTTCGGTGTCAAATAAACCCCGTCTTACCCCTTATCTAAACTTTCCGCCATAACTATTTAGGTTGAGTCCATATTTTGCAAAACATCATCCAGGTTATTACTTTCAATCATGATCTAATCCATGGGTAATTTACAATTTTATTATTCAATGTATTTTTGAGCTGCGTGAGGTTAATTAAAATGAAAATGATTTGTTTTACTTTCAGAACCCATTATTAAATGAAAATATTCTAAACAATTGTCTAAATATGAATTCCAGTCGAACAAATATCTCACAACAACATAAAATTAAGTAATAAACGAACCTCTTGGTCGTACAATTCGACGTGGTTTGATGTCATCTGTGGTCTCTGTAATGACAATAGTGACTTCACAAACTTCTACGGGGTCCAAAGAATTTCCTTCTGACTGAAGAACATTTTTGGACGCATTCGAAAGTTTTGAATCACTAATTGCATATGATTGCATAACGTTCGACATTGTTTAAGAAAATTAAAAAACTTCGCGTTAAAAACGATGTGCTGAAATACTGTTGGACTTACTGGAAAATTATACTTGGGGGTTCATAGAGGGGAGAACAGGACACTGTCCTTTTTGCGCAAGCGTCAACTTGGATCATATTCTATCGAAACAACCATATAAATATATCTTTTTATTTTTATGTTAAATGATATTGAAGAGATATAATTTATTATAATGATTTCTCAACAGTCATTTTAATTGGCAATAAATTCAAGATCACTTTCCTTTCTGTTATAGGAAAAGTTATATTGGGATCGCAATGATATTTAATATACATCAGGATAGTTCATTGACGTCACATTTATGTCAACGTGTGACTGATTGTGTTCCTGGAATGGGTGTGAGTAAAGTGGATATAGTTTCTAGTTAATTGCAGAAATGGAAAATTATTCAGAAAAACATGAAATAAGGGTGGAGGCGTGGTTATTTGATGATATATTTTATTGAGGTTCCCTAACAGAAACTATTTCTAGAACTACCTTCTCAGGTTTTGCTGTTCGATTTGACACCATCAAGTTATTTATAAAGGTACATGTACATAGCTTAGTGAGTTCGGCGACCCACAGCATAATTCAAATATCGGATGGGTGTGTAAATGCGTCATTACAAAGTAAACAAAAAATTTTGTACCGCTTTATCAATACTTACTCATTGCAGGATATTTTTGAAACAATGAATATTCGCATGTTGTTGGACATTTTGAAACTTACCTGAAACAAAAAAAAAACCACATATATATAATAACAGTTTCTTACGAATTGCAAAAAAAAAAATTATCAATTCAATATATTTTATGATTTTTAATGATTGTAAAACAATTTAAATTCATATTATTTAAGTAAATAAAAAAAAAAATGATGAATCTTAATAGTGAGTATATTTTTACCAACACGAATTTAAAGTAGATATTTTAAGAAATATAAATTTAAATGGAAATAATTTATGATTATAAACTTATTTATTTTATGAATATAAATTGATTAAAGAAATGGTAATATAAATATTAAAAAAGATTAATGGTTGTATAAAGATTTCATTTGTTTAATTACATATATTTTGTAATTTTTAATAGCGTCATTTCTTAATTCTATTGACATTCAATTTAGATGATTCGAACACACGTTTAATTAGTTTAAATGAAGAACCTTATTATGGTAATTTATGACTCAATTATCAACTAATTACTTTGAAGATTAGCCTAAAAATTATTTAATAACTATATTAAAAAAAAATCTATATATAAAAATGATTAACGACAGTGAAATGATAAACACAAAAAGAAATGTAATTTTCTAACTGCTGTGTCATATACATTAAGTGATTTTTGACTGATAGTTTGAACTAGATTGTATTTTACAATTAAAAATATTTATTACTTATTAACTACATGACTCAATGAATTTAAATCACATTTTAAAATAAAGGAAATAGATCCCATCATTTATTTTATCGGAGCGTATACCACCTCTCGTTCAATTTATAAAGTATCTTCTCGTTGACTAGTTACATCTCGCAGTGATAACATTTAGACTCAAGCAACGAATGTAACTCTATTACCGACTAGTAACAGTATTTGCAAAACTAGTGATAAGAGATATTCTGCGTTGCCGACACTCGCGAATTGAACTCGTGAGTTGGTGGCGCCGCGAAGTGATCGTAGCTTTGCAAAACTGATATGAGAGGGGATTGAAATAAATGCAAGTAGGAGAAATGACGCGTGCGCGACTATCAGGAGGGAGAATATGTTGGTTGTACCTTGGAAATTTACCTAACGCTGGGGACGAAGTCGTTGGGTCATTGACCGAGTATGAAGGAAAGTGGGACACCGAGGTAATACGACGAGGCCTTGAGATCATTGACGCATGCGTCTTACATTCTGTATCTATTTATCATGCACTTGTTTCTTTCTTCTTTCATTCTTATTTTTGTTTGTATATTTTTTTAAATCATTTTTTAGTCCATTGTCGTATATTTTATCCTACTCATAAATGAAATCATTTTTAGTCATTAATAAAAAAAATAAAAAAATTTAATGATTATAGAAAAAGTATGACTTACAATTAAAACAAAATTTATTATTTTTCTTATAATAGTTAATATTTATTGATGCCAATTAATGTATTGTTTTTGTTTTAATAAATATTTTAGGTCAATACTTTCGGTCGGAGGATTGATGAGAATAAATTACGTCATGCGTAAGTATAAGAAAAAGATTTTACATAATAATTTGGGTTTACATAAGGATAATTTTGAGTAATTTGTGTACAACTGTATTACGCGATTAACCCAATCATTCGAATAAGTGTATGTGTGTATGAAATATGGAATAAGTTGTGCAAATATAATAAATAATAAATGAAATTTATCAGAATAACATACAATAATATCATTAGTATAGGTTGATGGCCGCGTAGAGAAAATAAGAATTAGAAAGTTTGTGAAAGTCATTCCAAAAGAAGCCAAGTGCAGTCTTAAGCTGCACCTTGTAAGTTTACTTACACTTCAACATAAACAACGAAGCGAGAGTGGAAACCGGTTACACAATACTTTCCAGTATATTACATCGTTAATAATATTATATAGAAATGAATAGGCTACAAGCTCGTATCTATAAAAGGCCTGCATCAGATAGTAGCGCAACGCTTCTCCAAGTCAAATAGGATAAATAGGTTACAATGATCAACGGATTGTATTACCCAGTAAAAATGTCAAACTCTGGGATAAGATTTCAAAAATACTCCAGAGATCTGTGATACACTTTAGAATAACGTTGGAGAGAAATAAAGATCCCAGGAGCAACAGAGCAGCTGGAGAAACATAACGCGCAATCGGTGGTGGAGGTTGACCGAGTTAAGGGTCGCGGTGAGTGCATTGCCCTCTTGTTCTGTGCTGGTTAGGCTCTCCTCCGAGTAAATAGTGGGAGAATAAAACGGGCGAGAGGGTGGTAACGACACTCTGACGTCAAACTCCAGTCGAAGCTGGAAAGACCTGATTTTGAGAAAAGTTTTGTAACTTTAAATTTCATCAACAAATTTATTATTAAATTCACCAAATGAAGAGAAAAAAAAAAACAATTTTTTCTATTGGAATATAAAAAAATATTTCTTTGAAATGTCATATAAAATTGTATGAATTTATTTTTATTTGTAGGTAAAAATAATTTTTTTCGTAGTACATAATAAGAATTTGAGTGATGCCTGAAGGTTAGGAGAATATGAGAGTCATTGGAAAATTTTTTAAACACATTCCATAAGCTACAAATAAACATACAAATATCGTTATGAACCAACGAACACGTCCTTCAAGAATGAAAAAAAAACTACATCGCTATTGTAGTTCATCGTCTTTGAATGAGGATAAGTGTTATATACTCTCATAGTTAAACATTGAAATTAATTATACATTCATCTCAAAAATAAATGAAATGCACATGATCTAATTGTTTATTCTCTATTTAAATTCAGCGAAAATAGAATAGATAACATTGCTTATTCAGATTTAATCGAAAAACGTAATTATTTTGTGTGAAAGTTAATTAAAAACTAGCAATTATAACGCAAGAAAACGTGAAAGTTGGCTAAAATTTCACTAACTTTCTGATATGGTATTTTTAGAGTAATTTATATTGTTGATTTACTTGAAATAAGATGGAAAAAATTCAAATTTATTACGATAGATTATTGTAGGGGGTGTTGTTTAAATATAACTCATTAACATGATCATAATAATGAACTTCACACTAGGTATAAGTTCCTGAAACATATATGATGATATATTAATTCTCTGATTACTTGATAAATTGGAATCCAGCAGGCACTTTTTAAAACACTGGATAAGATTTAAATTCTGTGACCTAAAACACTTAAACGATCAACGACCCTCGTTTTTATCAAGTTGAACAAAGCACAGATGACCTCGTGACTTTACTTGACAATTTATATATAATATTATATACTTTATGTATGTAATTGATTCATTTATAAAATAAAGGTAAACTTTAAGTGTAACGAAATATAAATTAAATGATTTAATTTGGCAATGCTCAGTAAAAGATATAATTAATTTTTGCGACATTTATGTTAATTAGTTTTATTCTATTTTCATTTTAAATTTTTATTCAGAGGATACTTGAGTAAGTAAATCATGGATATGATTTATTAGCTATTAACATGAATTCTAAAAATATTCAGATGGCAAAAAAAAAGTTTTTACAGGATTGCTTAGAAAAAAAATGTAACTTTTTATAAATGAAAGTGTTTTTATATTTTAGTTCGTTTTAGAGAATTTACGGTATGTTAACGGATATTTTTGGCAGAAATAATTTTGAAAGAAGAAAGTAATAAACAATTTTGTTCGCATTAAAATCTTACCATTGAACCAACATTTTCTTCTCCAATACAACGTTTCTTGGGGTTTATAACTGTATTTTAAAAAGGATAAGGGTAAAACACGTGATTCGTACACCTTGGTATAAAAAAAGGGTAAATAAAACTGTAAGGTCGACAAGTTAACCGGGTAAGGATACAACGGGTTTGCCGAGAAAAAATTCCCGTAGTCACAAAGTTAATTCCTTCTACGAGGAAAGGAATTCCCAGTTTATTTTGCTCAAATTATCCTTAGTTATAAAAAGCTTAAGTCATAAAAGCCAAAAGGATTAACTCGAAGTTATTTTTTTTTTACTTTCTTTTTGACACCCTTTTTTTCACTTATACTGTAAATACAGTCATAATTTTTATAAAGTTAAATAAAATCTAAATGTTTAAAGGGAAAAAAACGGTAAAACCTTTTTTTTACCCACGTACAATAATTTAGTCACACGAATACATCATTCATAATTTATGTTACAAATTTTCTTCAAGTTAATAAGCAAAGAATTTTTATGATTTTCCAGATGTTGCGAAGAAATTTTTAATTTTTTCCCGAAAGAGTTTTCTTTTATTTTCAACAATTTATTTTTTGGACTCAAGATAATGCAGTAAAGTAGTAGAGTATATTTTTGTGTCAGTAAAAGAGAAGGAAATAAAAACGAATATGATCAACAGGATAGTATATAATGTAATCTGAGGGCAAAATGTACGAACGACAAGTGGTCGTGGTGGGAGGAGAACGTGTGCGAGAGGGTGGAAAAGCTCGTTGACTATGAGCTTCTAAGCTTTGAGGTCGGGAGTTCGTTGACCGGGCAGTGCTCTAGTTGCTTCAACTAGGCCAGTCTTTCCCTGGGGAAACCAAATTGAAGACGAAAAAAAGCTTTGGATTCTATTTGTGAATTTATAAACACATTTCTTCTATAGCTTCAAGCAAGTGTATAAATCTTCTATTTTATTTAAAAGAGTCATTTTACAGTCTTGATCGAAACTTCAAATTTCAGAATTCAACAATGATAGTGCTGATGGTAAAAAATACATCACGAAGGCCACAAGGCTGTTCTAAGTATATTTTATTCTATTCAATTGATATTTAATTAACTTTATCTGAACTAAAAAGGTTCATTAACTTCAATAGATGGAAAAGATAATTTTATTTTCATCAGTTATATACAATAATTTATTGAATTAATGTTTGAGCAAATAAAAGCTTGACTTAAAATAGATAATCTATTTTTTGGTACTGTAGGAAAATAAGGAATGAAACAAATAGATAAATGTATTGAATATAAATGGCAAAGAGTGGTTGGATGATCAGTAGTAATGATGGTATACTTAGTACCGGACGAGGCCAGGTCGAATTGTTGGGATCAACGATTCCAGGCTCACTTGCTGGGTCAGAGTTCATTGCCCTATATGACCTCCTATC